AGGGAGCAGCCAAGTGGTCAGTCACCATACTTGACTGCAGTCCTTCGCTAGCAACGCTGATGGACTCCAAAGGTGAGATTCATCTCACTCAACAGCAATGTAAACATCTACGTTTAACTGGTTATTTTAAATCCCTTCACAGTCAGTCCAGAGGAAGGGGCAGTGTGTGGATATCATGCCTCCTGTAGATATTCCTGTAGGCTAGTCACTCCCTCAAGGTGCCCATCACCCTTCCATTGGCAAGTAAGTGATTGAGAGAGTTAGTGCAGGGGTGGACATCTGCACTGTACACATCTGAAGGCATAAACCTCATGCTAATTTAGAGGAGCCTGCATCCCACCTGCACCCCAGCAGCTCTGCAAAAGGTATTCCTCTTGTCTTGCAAGACAATGCCATTCTTCTGACAGATTTGCCTTTAAAAGTGGGAGCTTTCTCAAGTACTGTTAGGTGATACAACGAATTTTTGGTGTTACAGATCATCCCACCATGCTGCTTGACAAGGATCCGCATCAGATTTCGGAGAAGTTTGTGAATCAGCTCCTTTACTTCTCTTTGTTCATAGTTCTTAATACGAAACTAGCCTGACGAAAGAGGAGAGCAAAGAGGACAGATGGCTAGGGTGAAGGGCAGATGAGGATAGCTAGTTTATTTGTGTGCAATGCATACCAGAAGAAACTTCCAGATGATTCAGAAATGCCCAGCTGTGCAGAAAAAAAGTTTATATAATCAATCCATAACTTTAATATATTATATCTATATTAACTTCCTTCCTCTTCTTGGTTATGCTCCCTCTCTGGTTCTAAAATTTACATTGGAAACTGGTAAGGACACAGACTTCTCCCCATACCCCTAACTGGCTTGTTTGACCATTGCCTGAAACACGAGTGCTGCTTCCGACTGGGTCTGAGTCACCACCCTAAACAAACAACGAGAACTTAATTCAAAGCAAACAGTAACCTAAAAAAGTCTTCTTTCCAGATAGTTTTCTCTCAAATGTTAGCTATACTGCCCTCTAAAACCTAAAAATAATTTAAAAAATCTGACTGAGCTCAGATTGTGATACTCTTTTGTCCTGATATTGTAACTTTTCACAAACACGGTGCAGTTTTGTCTTTCTCATTGTACTGGGGCTTGCTGGCCAAGTTGCCTCCAAGAAGAAGAAATGCTGCGAGTAAATATGGAACGGATAAGTTACTGAGGGTATAGGACATTATTGCTTAAAGAACTAAAGTTTCCCACCATGTCACTGAATAACCTATGTATGACTACAAGACGTTAAAAACTGGAAAATTCTTCTAACAATTAGCTCCATGTCTCAAACCACAGGAACACACAGAAGGGTCCAGCAAGCAAGAGACCAGTGAATTACTAGTCATAGATGGATTTCTGTTCTCTGAACGCTGTCAAGTGACTGAAAACATCCAGTATTTTGGTTATTGTGTAATTAGGATCCCTACAGTTTCCCCAGTTTGCCTTTGGGAAGCAGAAATGTCTCCTGGGCTAAGAGGACAAGACAGAGAGAGCAGACATAGGAGTCTGCTGAGCCCAAACTTTTTCTGTGAAGATCTTTCCTGCCATGAAGTAGGATCAACTCACATCAGCACAAGAGGGACAAATGCAGAAAGAGGCTTCAAGATCTTTTCATTTATGTAGATGAACATCTGTCTGACATTGGTACAAATGGCTCTGTCTTGAAAAATACAGTAGATGCCTGTACAATGGGCAGGACACAGGAAAATATTGCCTGGTGAGGAACTTCATTTTTTATCCACAGATTGTCAATGGCTGCTTGTGACTACCACGTCTGAGGGGGCCCATCTGCTCATGACCAGAGCAGGCACTCTGAACTGGACGGGAGCAGAAGCTGATGCGAGGTCATGAGCTAAGCAGCGCACAACCAGCACGTGAGGACTGGTCCTCTTTGTCATTTGCAGCCTGCCATTTGCTTGCAACAGCAGCTATTCCAGAGAACCTGAAGCCTCTTATTCTCAAATGCCAAGTTGAGGAAATAAAAATTTACACTGAACATGCAGCAGACCCCAGCAGTGAGATGGGGAGCTGGTACTGTAACGTGAATCTCTTCGCTCCTGCCGTGGACAGCACAGATACTTGTGGAAAGAAGATATCTTTGGCTGCCTTACAGAGATCGAGAGCTGAGATTAATGGCAACTGTGAGGGCTGCCTTCCCCTTTATGTGATGCATGCTTTAAAGCTGTGGCCTCCTGCCATCTTGAAACATAATCTTGTGGTATTGTCTTCATTCAGGCCCCTCATCATCAATGTGAAAAGAGAGAAGAAGCTGGTGGCAGGATTAGAGGAGAGGTTGAAATATTCTGGGCAGCATATGCTGTAAGTCACATTATACAAAGAGTATTATTGGACTGCTCATTGGCTAGAACTTTCCTTTCTGGAAGCACTGCTGCTTGTAAAACAGAAAACCTGGTGAAAAGTGTTTATAACACTCCAGACCACAGCATATGACACATTGTGAGCACGGTGACAAGCACTGAAAATATTTTTCAGACCCTGTCTGCCCTGCTCCTAGGAGATCCTTTTGTGCTCATCAGGGCTATGCAAGATGCATGGGAAAAGAGAAAGAGAAGCGAGAATAATAATTCAGAAGGTATTAATAAACATCCTAAAATTACTGTCATCAGGTGACCCATCTCAACCTTAAAACTAACGGAGTACTTCAGTCTTGGAAGGCTGTTTGAGACCTTTGTTGTTTTAGAAGTGAGAAACCACCTTTTGTTGTCCACTTTAAATTTATTCATGGCAAATTAAGCCCATTTGTTCGTAGACTATCAATGTTCTTAACTGAAACAGATCATTTTCCTTGCCTGGCTATAAGGTATTTACAGACAGCGTCATTTTCTCTCTGAAACGTCAATTTAATGTGCTTAACAAGTCAAGCTCCTTTAGTCTCCTTTCTTATCTCCATTCTCTGGTCACCTTTCCAGTTCTTCTCTGCACTGGTTCCAGTCTGTCTGTAGTCACCTTTCTTGACCATAACTAGACCAGATCATGATTGATCAGACCTATACACAGGGTTCCATATTAAATTAGAGGAAATTATATTTCTTGTACTAATTACTTTTTTTTTTCCCCTCAAAAGAGGTTTCTCTTTGTCCTATACACATAAAGAAAAACAAATTAAAGTGAATTTCCCATCTCTAAAAGCTACCTGGGAAGTTCTAAATGTTCAGAGTCAATCTTTCTTGGAAACCTTTGGCTGTACAAGATTTCCACAACTGAAACATATTCTTCTGAAGGCTGGGGAACATTAAAAGTTTACAAGGGCAACTGGCATTCATTTAAAGTGTCAAACTTAGTCTTGGTGGCATGTTTTAAAAATCTTCAGCTTTCATTAAGCTGGCTTCAAATGCAAGTTGTTATTGTTTTGGCTCCTGACACTGTCCTCATGGTCAGAAATTTTTCTTGTCATGTAAGAAACCATTTTTCTCTTTTGAATCAAAAAGCAGTACATGGTCTTGTCTACAAATTGAGCACTTTAACAACGTTTTCATAGTTTTCTTTTTGACCTCCTGGACACAGACCATCACTTCCCCATTATTCCAAAGTACTAGCAACACACATAATTTTGCCATGCCTCAAGTCCTTTTTTGCCGACAAAAAAATGTAAAAAGCTGCTAAAAGCTTCATATTTTACCATATGGAGGGAAAAGAATTTCTTCTCAGGAGCTGGGGGGAGGGGGGTGTTAGAGAGAAGACATACAATTAGAAACTTAATTTACATTATCACGTAAAATTGCAGTAAAGTATTTCTAAATGGAATCATAATTCTAAAAGGTATCTCCAAGTTTCCAAAAAGATACAGATTTACTAAATTAAGCTATTCTTTGAATTATTGTCTTTCTCTCAGTCTGGGGATTTAGATACGTTGAATTCTCATCCTTCTAAATCAAACACTTCCTCCACAAATTGTAATTTCAGATTACAGAAAACATGGGGTTCTCAGTCCACTGAAAGTGTGAGTTTTCCAGCCACTGGTAGAGGTTTGGGCTCATACCTTTTCCCCTTCCCTTGTGGAACAGCCATGGATGAGTCAGCTCTCTACTTCACCTCAGCTCTTTCATTCTTCAAACTAGAGTAATTACTTCTCCCATGAAAGTATGCAGTAAATTCAGATCTAATCATGGCTTTGAGCTGGCATAAGATTAAAAAGATACAAAAATGCTAACAGGAACTCCATTTAGTCATCGTGATTTTGAGCAAAGAGAAGAGCATCAATTAATTTTCAAAGGGTGAGAACAGTGCTACTGCAAGAAAGCTGCAGACTAAAATTGTTCTGAAACACCTTCTCTTCATACATGTCTCACCCAAGTAAACTTGGGTGGCTACTAATCTGAGTCACATTTAAAACAAAAAGCAAGAACTGATAGCTTCCGTGCTGTGCCTGTAAAATATTTACTTCTACATTGGAAGGCTATAATTATCTCTGATACCAGAGCAACTTTATACTGTGCTAAAACGATGCTAGTATTTCCTCCATAAAATAACAAACTTTGACACAAACAGTACTTAAGCATTACCACAGGGATATAGCAAAACCACAGATATAACCTGAAGAGCAAAAGAGGAAATTTGAACGGAATTACCTTATTGGGCTAATACAGTCCGACCTAATATTTTTAGAGGTCATCCAATGATCTCTTTTGTTTGTGGAACAAAGCAGGGTCAGTCAGATTTTGCACTGTTTGACCCAAATATTTCTCAATACTTGTAAATTCTCCATATAACCAAACACAAAGATTAGAGGATACAGTTTTAATTATGCTTGTATAAGTATGAAGGAGTACTGTTGATTTAGGAGGAGTTACAAAACCACACAAAGTATGCATCTAAGTTGGAATAAGAAATTAAATGCAATAAAACCTATATCTGATTTTTTTGTTTTACAAGGAATGTTTTCAGTATCTGCCTAAGTAAGCTTTGGAGCCGAAACACTAATCCAAAAGCAGTGCCTTGCGCAGATCGGATTATTCTTCCTTGCCAAACAGATCATCCAGAAGAGGTAAGTATTTGATCCCTTTCACAGGAAGGGATGCTGGTTGTCTCCTCCAGTCATCTTCATTCTGAAATTAGTAACCCACAGAATGTCTTAGAATGTCATATTAAAAACCAGAACAATTAAAAGCTGGTCAACAGAAGATTGAATTAGCTGCTTCATTTCACAAATCTGTGAAAAAGTAAACCTTTATACAGTACTTCCTCTTATAATATTACTACATGCACATTTTTATCAATCTTGCAGAATATTTTATTAAGAATATTTTCTATCATTAGCCTTTTTGCAGATATTTTCAAATTAAAAAATGCTGTATTGTCTTCATTAAGATGCTTATACTTCAAAGTTTTGCAAGTCATCTATGTCTCAACACAAAAGTCATACCAAATAAGGAGACAGAGAGAAAGAAGAAAAAAGTCAGCTAGACAAGCACAACTCTGTTGCTGAAATCTATCTGTCAAATACAGGTACTGTAGCCCCCAAATACTGCTGTTAATTCATGGTAAGTCATGAGCAGAATAACAATTGGATTCTGAGGTTGAACAAGATTTAAATCCCTTCCTTTCTCTGATTTTTTCCATTTCGTACTGATCTCTTCATGAAAATATTCTTGTACTGTAGCAAAGATAGCCTAGGTATTGTAGATAACTAACAAAATAATAAAGTCAATAAAACTGAATAAACTATACTGGCACCAATTTAGGCACAGTTCGCTAAAAACAGTGCTATGCACCAGTATGGCAGTTACAGCAAGGCTTTGGAGCTGATGAGGAACTGATTATCCCAGCATGATGATGACTGATTGCAATTTCTATTGATGCTCTTTCTTCTTTTTTTGATTTCAGCTGTAACCTTCCTCCCGTATCTCCATGTACCATCCTCAACTGAGGCTCTCGGGCATCAGCCACTCCTGGAAAGCCCACCCACTGGCTGTCCTCCAAGCAAAGGTAACATCTTCTTTGTATCGAAACAAAACCTCATCTCTTATGCTGATCAGAATACACGTTTCACCACAAATGTCCACTTCACCCTCCTGCTTGTTTCACAAGCACCTTTTCCTCCACACCTTCAACTTGTGAAGGCTGCCTCTTGGTTCCACTGCCCCTTGCACCCCACCTTCACCCCGTAGGAGCTATCTCCTTCCCTAGCCTGTCAGAAATCAGGTCATGCTCAACGGCTAGATAAGCCATGCAACTGTGAGGGGAAAAAAATGGCCAAACATATTCAACAGCAAGTGCATCTGTGCTTCTGCTTCTTTCACCCTTGCTTTTTGGTACAGAGCTCAGCATCATCATCAAGGCAAAAATCCTCTGACCTTCTTTTTGTTTCTGTGGTACTGAGGCTCACAAGACCCCTTATCTTGGCACAATCTCTTGAGAGCAGTCACTGTTTAAATATTGAGTCATAACTTAAGCACAGAATTCTTCTGTAAAAACAAAGAACACCCATTGAACAAAACCTAATGCACGCTTTGAACTACAGGGCTGCTGTATAAAACACATGGAAGGGCTTTGATTTTATCTGTGTAAGATGGAAAAATTCTTTTCAATGACAAAGTGAAAAATAAACCACCATGGAAAGTAGGGCAAATCAGCAGCTTTGGGTCCTTGTTTGACATCACTGACAGTTTGAGATGCTACAGGAAAAAGAGCTGGCAAACCAAGTCAGAGAGGAGCCAGGTTAATAGCACAGTACTTGAGGAATATTGGTTTAAACTGTGTCACTGTTGAAATCAAATTTAAAGGAATGCTATGCTTCTAAATGGACTGAATACAATCAAGCACATTTGGTACAAGCATAGCAACACATTGGCTAGGTTGGAACAGTAAAACTACGTGTGGGCAGAAAGGCTTCAGATTGATCTGCTATGAAGTTCATAAAAATCAGTATAATTGCCTTATGCACCACTTATTTTAAAATTTTCCATTCAGCACAAGATGGCAAGATCAGATTAATCTCTTCAGTTTGTTGATACTGCATTTTAATTTACCTTAAGTAGCAGCCTGGTGGAGATATACGAAGTTGATCCATCAATACCACTCTTGCTGTACGCCTACCAGTGATGTGGTGTATGATGTATAAGTTTCTATGGAGTTATAGAAAATACATAGCTATTTTCTGCAGTGGCAGTGGAGTTTTAAGTATTTCCTGACTATATCAACAAGTGAACAGATCGTTTGACATATGACAATGATATTTGTGGGCAGAAGTGGTATTCACACCCATTGTTCACGGACAAGTACATCTGTTTCTCCTTCTCTTTTTTTTTCCTTCCAGAAAAATGTCATAGAGATATGACACCTATTAGGCATGGTGGTGTTACAGGGCTCCTTTACCCTGTTTGACTTCTCTGTTTCATTCTAAATCTCCTAGGAAAAAAAATAACTTGAAGAAAACAGGCACAAATATGCAAAGATGAAAACTGTTGTGGTCTCCCTTGGATAAAGCACTCATGTTAAAGTTGGACCAATTATACCAATCTACTGTACTGTTCCTTTGCTCAGATACACTGGTTTTACCTTAAGAGGAACTTTTATTATATGGAAAGCAGGGATTTGATTCTCTCTCCAGTTCAATCCATCCACAAACTTTTTATATTCCACTTGCTTATGGTCATCTTCAAACCTAAGCAGAACATCCATAAGATGACTCAAGGTTAAAAGAAATTTTTAACAAAGTTGTATCACATTATCTACAGCATATTAATACATTACCTTTTGGATAATAATTATTTACTCATTTATTACCAAACACTAGCAGGAGTACAGAAAAACACTCCCAATCTGTCAGGACTTTATATCATACACTCTCTTCAGTATACTTGCATCTTATTATTGTCTTTCATAGTAAAATTCAACTTCTTTGAGGTTTATTACATTTCAACTAATTTCATTTTACTTTTTAAGCATTGCCCAACCTTTCCCAACACTGTGAGATCTCACAATTGGTGACAAACATAGAGCTGGGATACTCAGTGTACGATTCCTTTATGTAGAAAAGAAACAGACATTGAAACACAGAATCATTTAGGTTGGAAAAGACCTTTGAGATCACTGAGTCCAATCATAAATATAACACTGTCAATGTCCCTAAGTGACACATCCACATGTCTTTTAAATACCTCCCAGGATGGTGACTCAACCACTTCCATGGGCGGCTTGTTCCAATGCTTGACAATCCTTTTGGTGGAGAAATTTTTCTTAATATCCAGTTTAAACCTCCCCTGGCACAACTTAAGGCTGTTTCCTCCTGTCCTATTGCTTGTTACTTGGGAGAAGAGACCAACACTCACCTGGCTGTAACCTCCTTTCAGGTGATTGTAAAGAGTGATAAAGTCTCCCCTCAGCCTCCTTTTCTCCAGACTAACCAACCCCAGTTCCCTCAGCCGTTCCTCATAAGACTTGTTCTCTAGACCCTTCACCAGCTTGACAGATAGAATGATAGCTTGATAGGTAGAATGATACGAGAGAGCTGTGCTATAACACAACTGACCTGCTTTACATGGCTTCTACAATCGTTTCCTGAAAATAAGCAATCCTTCAAAAACGCTTTTGCACACACCTTGGAATCAATTTACAACTGACAAACATGTAGCTGTTTAACTTATCAAATAATAGCCAGATTTAAAAATATCACAACCCTTTTTATTTGGTAGTTGTTTTATGGCATTGTTCTTTATTTCTGTGAAATAAGTACATATTTGTGTCAGTTATGAGGGTCCCCTAACTGCACGAAATATATGCTGCCACTAAGGTCTACAGGTACATGTGGAACATGCTACCTCAAATTTCTAAAATCATTACCTAGCACTAATAAACCCCATGGGTGCAGATTTGTAAGACATGTCATACTTCTGCTGTTGGTTTGGATGAAGCAGCTTCAGAGAAAAAGTCCTCAATTCAGCAAAACACTTAGGTGATTATAAGGCACCTAGGAACCACTGTTAATTCAGTGAGACTAATCAAATGCTTGAAAGATATCCACAAGCTGAAGCTACCATGCAAATCATTTTTGAAATGAACAGCTTAACTGCTCCACTATAAATACTGTCCTAGCAGCTTCTGTGAATGACTCACGTAACACTATCGACACATAAAAGGCACCTGGTTTTGGCATACAAGCACACCCTGGAAGTGTTTCTGCTTCACTGAGGTCCATGGAGACATATACAATTAGCAAGACTCAATACCTATTCTTTGGTGGGAAACATGAGGTTAAACAATTCTGCCCTGTAATCTGGTGACACGAATACTAGTGCACAGGAATAAGACCATCTCCAGGAAACAAGTCTTTTAGCAAATTATTGTATCTTGTTCTTAAAGAAATAGCACTGCACAAAATACCAGCCTCAAACCCTTTCAATCACTGCAAAGAGTTCTGGTAAAAATTAAGGACGAAGGTATTTTAAGGGAGAATTTACAGCACAAACCAGGAAAACAATACCAGAGAAGAGGATAAATAAATCTAGTGACAAAAATAAACTGCAATAAAATGCAACTCTTCCTCTCCTTCTCCTCCCCCCATACCTTGCATTTAATAGTCAGCAGGAGAGATAATAATAAAATATACTGAGAGCCATAAACAGAGATGCTAGCGATAAACTGGAACGTTAAGTACAGTGAGTTATGCTGAAGATGAAAGCAAAGCCAGAAAAGAATGCTACTGTTACTAATATTAAAGAGGAGTCTGAAACATTGCCATAAGAAATCCTCTTATGATAGCTTGCCTCTTTATAATAGCTCGCCTCTTTATAATAGCTCACATGCAAGTTAACATTTTCATAAAACCTTATTTTGGGAGAATATATCCAATATACAAGAAAATTATCATTCCCACTTCTAGGGAATTTTTGTTTGTTTCAGGTTTTTTCAGGTGGCGACTGAGAAAAGAAAGGAGTTTTGCATTAGAAGTAACAATACAATAAAAAACCTTAAAAATTTTGGAAAAAAAACTACAGCACAGAGATTTGTTCTTTTACTATACATGTATTTCTCTTTTGCTCATTGTGAAAAGTCAAAAGATTAAGCCTGCTGTCAAGATGCAGAGATGTATAAGCAGGATTTTTAAATAAAGAAAAACTGAAGGCATGTAACTACTTACACTTTATGCTGAGGCAATGAAGTCAAGAAAAGCATCGCTTCCGCTTTCGACAAATATTTACATGGAGAAAAGCCCTTTGATGTGACAGCACTAGCAAACTGAGATGACAACCTGAGCATGAAGTTAACTATAACCAAAGATTTTAACATGGGCAGAGGAAAAGGGATTCCTAAATCCCATATTCAAATAGCTACGGAAAGCAGCTTAAAATATTACTCTAGAATAATCGAGAAAGAAAAGAAAAAAATCTGCTCTTTAGATCTCTTTCCTGCTATGACTTACTGTATCAATCCACTAAAAGCACAGGCTTGCAATTTGGCACACAGCATCCAGATGGACTGAGATGTTATCAATTTGCACACTATTAGGACAGAGAGGTCAGACATTTCAGTGGCTGGAGTTAATATGACCGAAACTGACAGTGCTCTTCAGGAAAGGAAATTACATTTGTCTTATCAAGAAGATGCAACAAAGATCCCTTGAAACCATGCTTCTCTTCAGTTTTGCCCTATGACTTTACCAATGCATGTGATTTTAGACTATGAAAGTCACTCCCCCATTCCTATCGTTTGCAGAGTTGTTTTTTTTTCTTTGACATTTCAGAAATAATCACACATTTCTGCATCTAAAAATATATTCATAATTAAATACTCCAGATATATGAAAAATCTGGTTAAATCACATTATGACCATCCCTGAAGACGCTTTGGTGAGTAAAGGCTATCTACAAATATTTTTTCTTTCCCATCAAGAAACCTGTAACCCAAACATTTACGTGAAAAGTTAATGAAGATGCAGGTTTTTTTAATTCCTTAGTTTTGAATAACATTTGTTAAGAAGTTAATCTGATAATAATAGAGGAGAAGCACCATGCTACTTAAACCTTAGAGAAAACGTGAGGATTCTTCAGCCTGTTTGATACACAGGTATACACCTAAATTGTCATAAACTGCTCATATGAAAAGATTTAAAATAGCAAGCATGGACAAGGAAGTCTATGCTGCTCATCAGTATGAATTAGGTAATGGCTACCATCTTGTGTATACATTTATTGACGTCTTGAACGACTATAAATTGAACCATCAGTTCCTCAGCATACTGAATGACAGAAATAATTTCTTTTAAGAGATCCAGGTACTAATGTTAGAGAGTCTCTTCATCCTAAATGCCACAGGCAGTCTCAGGCATCAAAGGTAATGAACAGAAGACGGAGTGCAGGAGAAAGATCTTGTGACTGTTTCCAAATTTGCTCCTGCTACCAGGACGCTTGCTGTAGCAGGAAAAGAGGGTTTGCTTCCTGAAAGAAATAGGTCAGCCCTAAAAAAACATTAGAGGTAGGCATCTAGGTAAAAAAAATTATTGTTACCCAGTCACAAACCAGGAAAAAGCTGTGCATGCAGGAGTGGCCTGGTCGGGCCTATTAGTGACTTTAGAACTGGGATGACCACGTAGGAAGTCCATTGTTATCAGGCACTGCTACCTGAGATACTAGGGATTAACTTTTTCAAAACAAGAAGCTCCTCTCCAGCGCCCAACAGACTCACCCTGATACTGTGGAGAGGTGAAGAACTACACAGTCACTTTTAACAGAAATTAAAAGACATACTTTAAAAAATAGGAACATACACTAAACAACTAAACTCATGCAGAAAAATCAACATGTAATACTTGCAAAGTTGTCATCCATTCTTTCTTCCCTCCACTTTTTCTTTCCTTATCTGCCAGCTGTTTATGTACCCTCTGGGGAAGGACTGTATTTTTTTAAGTCCTTGTTAGCATACATTTACCATGGCAGTAAATAAAAATAACAGAAAAAAATCCCTAAATTCATTACTTAAGCACTTTAGCAACATTTATTTATTAAACAAACGATAATTGCTCATCATGCCCGCATAAATTTAAAGAAATGCTTACAATGACTACTGTAGTATTCTGGCAGAAACAATTGTGTACCATCTGCGTTGCTTAATACATTGTGATTAAAAGTCTGTGTTGCCCTGTGATTAACTATGTGAGAAAATGCTGATGGAGAAAGGAAATACTTTTTAATAAGCCAACTGAGGTAAACTGGAAAAATGGACACATTGTTGGGTACCTAAATCCTACTATTTCATCATCCCACAATTAAAAATATAAATTTACTCTGGACAGACAATTTGAAAGGGTCTTACGAAACCTCACAGTCTTTGTGCTAATTTTCCCTGCACTCTGTGGAAACTCAATGGTCTTTCAGTACAGTAAACAAAGCCTTGGGTCATCTGGAGGTGATCACAAAATTAGATAGTAATTTCTAGTCCCATCTCATGCTTTTAATAAGTGACAGATCATTGCAGTATAATTTACAAGTGTAAATAATAAATACTTTAAGAGTATTACCTTTCAAAACGGAAAAATAGAACCATTAAGTCATAAAGAAAGTCTTTGCCACCTAATCTCAGATAGCAAAGTTGAATAAACATATAGCTTCAGTCTTCAACTATTATCTGATCACATTGTCTAGCATCATTTTATAGCTGAATAGGGTCCAGCTAGTGCATTAGTTACATATACTGATTTTGTGAGAATCGGTCCAACAACTTTTACTGTACCACTTTCTTCCTTCCTAAATACAGATATACACAGTAGGAACACCACCGCTTGCTTCAGAAACATCAATAGACACAAAACGACATGCTTCCTCATCCAAAAAACAACCAGGGAGAGAATGTCGACAAACTTTGCCCACACTGAATTGCATACTCCCCAGGAGTGAGACTGTTCTTCATCAACAATAAACCTGCCTGTTTTATGATTCTTCAGTCTCAAAGAAAACTATAGAAAGTAGGAGGAAAGGAAAAGTCTAAATCTCATTCAGTCAACTCTACTCTTTGATTTCCAGATTACTGGAAATTAACTCCTATTAAATAGACTTCAACAAAATCTTTCCCTGTCTCTGCACACTCATGAAACAATAAACTTGCCAAGCAGTACCAACTGCACACACTATTAAGAATGTGACAATCTTCCTTATTTGCAGTGCTGATGCTGTAACTTAGAACTGGCATTACACATAGCACTCTGTCATTGAAGTACTTCTTACGTGGACTTCTGAGGTCCAGCTTTCACACCATTTACCTTTCTCATATAGAAATCTGCAATACAGGCTGGCCACAGCCCCTTTAGAAACAAAGGAAAATGGATGGTGATTTAGAAATCCAGCTCTTATACAGGCTGAGGAGATAACTGTCTCCTTCTCCATCACCTACAGAAAGGACCTACAGTGACTGAATCCTAATTCAGATGTCACGGGTACCTGGCTAAAGCTGGGTGCAATCCAGTCCTTAGTCTCCTCCTTGCCTTCTAAGCTTATCTCTAATTTTTATTATAGTGTACTGGGCTTTTTCTTCTTCACTGCCTACACTAAGACTCTTCAGGAGACAAGAGGTTCATCTCTCAAAAGCTTTCCCTGGTATAAATTCACAACCAATAAACACATCTCTGGAGTGTACGATGTGTCATGCTTGTCTGTTTTTCATTAGCATTGAATTAGTACATAAAGGAAAATCTCCAGTCCCTTGTCTGTGCTTCTATTCAATTTCAGCCTTTATGAAGTGGAAACTATGAGAACTCCTTGTCTAGTACTGGATGTCAATTGTCCTCCAACACTTCTTGTGTTGGGCAGCTTGGTGGGAGTTCTAAAAAATAAGTTTTAGACTAACGCTAAAATTCAGACATGCTTCTGATGACTAATGCTTGTAACCTAACTGTCAGAAGTGACGAACGGCAAATAAATTGCCAAAGTCATCTATCTGGCCACTGCCAGATATATTCTGAGTTTGGGGTCTGGAAACAGAGGCTTCGTGAAAAATAGCCCCTTAGGCTTCTTAAAGCCATCTTGTTGATACTGACTTAAGTTGGAAGTCTTGCTTGCAGTACGAAGATGCTTTATTAAAATGGATTCCACATTTCTGCCTGACAAGAGTCTTTTCATTATCTTATAAATCCAGAGGCTTAGTTTGTAACTCGTCCTGCAATCAAGAAGCAGCAGGACACTACCTAATCAAGATGCTACCTGAAAGCACCTAAACATGACAGAAGACAAGATCTGCTCCGGCTTTTTACATGGCATGAATACACAGAGAAAACATTTAAGCATTTCCCACATGGGAAAGAAGAGACCAATGAGCATGCATTTAAACCTATTGCCAGAAAATCTGGCCATGAAAACCAAACTCAACATGACATGAGCATTCAAAACATCACAGGTTACTCTGAACTCTAGCCTTTAATACAAGTGCACTGAATACTAGTTCTTTTCACTTCTGCTTCCATTAACAGAGCTAGCCAAGCAATTTGTCTCAACATAATTAAATGTGCTATGGAAAAATACCCAAACCATGCCAACATTCCTTTTCCTTTTTAAAAATTATAATCAAATATGTTTCAGGTGAGATCAATAGAAGCAGCAAACCACTTCTATTTGCTAATGATACTGTCTACTTGATTCAAGGTCATTTCATTGTATTCATCTTGGTATGTTTCTTAAAACTCACATAATGTGTTTCATAAGATTATTGGGTTTACCTTACATATACACAGGAATGACTAAGGCAAAAGTGAATCTTATTGATAACTATAAGTATCAGTAGCTGATTCCCATAAGACTAATTCCATAGAGTTCTGGCAAAACTCAGATGATCTATCATGCCAGACAAAATGAAGGGAAGTTTCTAAGATGGATGCACCTTAGTAGATTATGAATATTCTATAAATAGGAAAATCTGCATGTGTATAGGGACAAAATCAGCATCATGAAATTATTAATAGTATACAAATGACAAACTCTTAAAAACTGTATCTGCAGTAGATACTTAGCATTGATTTGCACCCATGCATGCAGGTTATACTATCTGCCCTTAACTTACATGGTCAGTAAAGCTTGCAGATCATCATCAGCCAGTGGCAACTTAAAGGACTTGCAAATAGTCCTGCACGTCTCATGGGGTAGCACTCCACATCTACACAAACAGAAAGAGGGAGGGAGAAGTGTACATTAGATATTTTCCAGATTTACTTCAAGTGAATGTTGCTGCGAATAGGAAAACACATGAGGAATATCAGAGTAGAGGTAAAGAAAACAAGGTTTTATGAAATTTGCTGTTACAAATTCATAAACTGGTTCAGTTTATGAATAATTATAATACATAATACAAATTCATTCATTCATGAACAGGCAACTGGTTATGTCACAGAATGTTCAGTACAGCAGCTATAATAAAAAGTCCACAAACAAAATGAAAAAGAGGCAAAAAGGCTATACTTTTCTTGTCTACTGTCAAGCACTGAGAGAGGCTTAACATCACAAATAATATTCTTTGGCTGCAATATATCATGTGCTCAGCAACAAACAGAAAGTAGGTAGGTTTCCAAGCAGAGCTTCCCAATTAACAGCTTAGGATAAATGAAGAAAACTAACTTTTCACGGTCGTTGTATATAAACACTGCAGACAGTTGTTCAAAACTCTCAAAGCTTTTTTTCTTTAGTTGTTCTTGAGCCACTGCAAGGAGGAAGTGGAGGTCCATTTCATATTCATCTCTCACACCATAATAGCGCCCGAGAGTCATAATTTCATGTTCTGAAAACATTCCATCAGCGATACTGACTATCAAATTTCTGTTCACAAAAACAACAGCCTACATTAGTTTTGAGTAAAGGAGTTAAAACAATTAATAATCACTAAATTTCAGGGGAAAAAAAAGGATTAAAATGCACTTATTATAAAATGCTGTATTTAGATCTTTAAAGAACATATCCACTTAAATTTGAAATCCAGATCTGTTCAAAGAGGTATACTGGTATCTGAACTTTCACAGGATGTCCACATTTCCTCAGTAGTTGGCTGTATGTACGAAAATACATAAAAATCATAGTTGAAGCTTTTTACCTGGAGATGCCATACTGGTATGGAATATTAACAAAGATTAATTTTGTGATTGCATTTATCCAACAGATAGTGAATTAACAAGGTGTTATCATGTTTTGTTCCTAATTATATTTTGCATTCTGCAGCACATCTGTAAACACAAAGCATGAATAACAACAGCTGCATAAAATAGAGAAAATTAACAGTAGAGGAGAAGCGGGGCAGAAGATCTCAACAGAGAATAGAACATTAATCAACTGTCAAGCAACACGTTACAAAGCCTTTTGAAAGCTGGCCCTGTTCGGTGGCTTTCAGGGGAAAGCTGGGGGAAGGGAAACAGAAATTGGTCCCAGAGAGAGGGCAGAAAATTACACCCATATTGTAATCACAAGCCCTCCTGGAAAGAATGGAAGACAGGAGGCAGTAGTAAGACCACTTTATGCTCGGACACTGTCAGCAAAGAATCAAATCCCATGCAAGGAAGAGCCTGAGATGCGCTCTGCCAAGATCACTTGTGCTGCTCAGACAAATCAGCCCAATCCAAGGAAGGAGAAATGTTCCTGAGATCCATCTAATGGGCCAGTGCTGGCACTGAATAACTAGTCATTCCTGTGAATACCAAGAATTTGTTGCTGGTAATAGAGCTGGAGTGATTTCTGGATAAGCTCCTGAAGGTACCTGCAGTATATCAGCAATTGGACACAAGCTTTGGAGCTGAAGAACCAAGACTAGTAATTACAGTTCAGAACAATCTCCCTCTGCTTTATATTGTCAGTGGAGGGGAGGAAAAGGACTAACTTTAAAGACTACTTTGTCTTTGCAGCAGGCGTTTTGTTACCTTCAATGATTACAGAGTTCTTCATGTCCTGGATGCTGACAGAACATAAGGGAAGAAAAACACCAGTAGTGAGGTATGCAAGGAAACCTAGGAGGCTTCCTGCTTTCCTGGAAAAAAAACTGGCCTGAACTGTAGGTTACCTCAGCCATTATAAGGCCTCTTGTCAAACTTGACTTAGTGTAACAACATTGGTGTTGTGATCCCAAACGTCTGCCTCTGGTGAACTCACGTTCAACAGGACGTTTTTAACAGCAAGCATCAACGTAGACCTATGTGCCTCAGTCAAAATTAGATTAATTACATACGATACTTCTGGATAAACTGCACTAAGAATAAACTTCACGATAATTGCTGATACAATTAGAGTTGCACCTTGTGGTACCCTTGAGGGTACTGCATCACTGTGACTATGTACCGATCTTTGAAAACAAATGGAAGAAGTCACTAGTGATGCACAAAGTTCTGATGCAAGACTCAAACTTCTGGCTGAAGAACAGTTAAATAGTTAAATTCTTGAATGAATCTGATAATGGGTCTCTTAACATTCACATGTGAACTGAAAGCACAGAAACTTAGTATCCTTCCAAATCGCAGAATTTTATCAACAAACATAATTTTGCACTTGCTTCCTCTCAGAGGCAGGAATGTGCAGTCCTGTTCAAATGAAGATATCTCTTCATGGAATATGATTGCACTTATACAGCTACTCAAAAAAGGATGCTAAACACTGTATAGTGTCTACTTTGATTCAACTGCTGCTTTTTTCATATGAAATCAATCAGAAAGATCCTGACGTGCAGTGGCAGGAGATAAATATAAGGAGAAGACAAGTTTTTGACAGTAGCAAACCTTACTGGAGATCATGCAAACTCAAAGACCAAAACTTGGCCCGTCTATTAATACTGCTATTATCTTGTCAGTACTATTATTCCACTTACTGACTATAATTATTTATATCGTAGCAGCATTCAGAGATCCAGTAAAAACTGGAGCCTCTTTCCTGGAGTCTGCAGTAATACTACTGCAAACACAAAGAAGAGGACAATACTGCCTGATAAACCTGGCACTCCAGGCTGGCGAAGCTGAAAGCAAGTAGATAACATCACCCATCTGAGTATTTGCACAGACTGGATTTCCACACATGGCACAGATTTTTCCAGTATCAGGATTTTAAAGGTCTTTTATTTTCTCAAGGCAGACAGTGACAACTAAGTCACCAAAACCCCCAGATAAAACTATTGTCTCGTTTGGGAATTAAGGAGTATTCTAGTGATTGCTAGGGACTAACGAGTGAGACCCAAGATTCGCAAACAGAATTGCATCTAAACTCTTTCTGACAAAAAGAAACGAGCTGCAACAATTGTTCCCATAGATTAGTTATCTTTTGTTTTACTTTTTTTTTTTTTCTAGAAGATTGCAATCTGAATTTGGTAGAGAAAGAAGAAATAATAATTAACTGCTTAAGAGAGCTGTTTCTCAAGCTGGATTGAAGATAGGCATCTTTGTTAAACCCACATGGTTCTTTGTCTCTAAAAGCAAACAGTCTTGCCAGTAGGATAGGACCATGTGATGCACAGGCATCTACATTTTAGTTATTTTTCCCTTCTCTTTTTAACAAAGCTTTCAATAGTTTTAACGATAGCTTAGGGGATAGCTTCAGTGTACGTCATCGCATTTATTTCCTGGATGATGTGCTGTAGTAGTTCTGAAAGTAGTTTAAGTAAATTGTGTAACTACAATTCTGCTTCACTACATCATACTTATAGGTGTATTTTTAAATGCAGCTCATACAAAATCACATAGGTAGAAGGGAAGAAATATGAACAGCTAAATTCAGAGCACAGTAAAGCTTTAGCTGTATTTAAGATAAGAAAAGAGGATTATGCTGGTTGAAGCTGCCACACTGATAATTGTCTGTACTAAAAATAATCTTTTGTAATTAGTTATAATCATGAAATGCCACAACAGATGAAAAATAAACAGTCATGTACACAAGAAAATACGAAACTAAAAGAAAAATATATATTCTATTCATGGAAAAATATCTTAGACTTTTCATAGATGCAAAGAAGTGCTCTCACCTTCAGCATTAAAAATGTTTCTTTTATTCTAAAATAAGATACACAGATTTAAAAAGCCTTTAGACTACTGGAGATCATACGAATGAACAGAAACAAAATCTACTATCATTATAAAGCACAGAAGTTAAATGTTCCTTAGAGGCAAATTCTTCCTCTGGCAATGTGAATGCTTCCTGCATTCCCACTCTAGGAGGAACGCTTACTACTGCTTTCCAGTCTTTTTTTAAAGATGCTCACCACTGCATCCTATAATTTCAATACATCTTGGTTCCATGAAGACTTTCTTCTTTATCAATGATTCAAAACCCAAATAACACCATTTTCAGAGGCAACTCAAGCATTCTTTCTTTAATTTCAAAACTACTAATTAATTTGTTTGACTCCTAGGATGGACTTTTCTTTGTCTTTCAGTGTATATACTACTGCTGATGTGCCCTTCTTCACTACACCCTGTGCCAGCTCCATAAAAAGCAGACAGATTTTAGTTGTGCTTTTCAGCTTACTTGAAACTATCACATTTCTCTTTTTTCCTGGGGCATGGATTCACTTTCTTTTTCACACACAGTCTTCAAGTAAATGCAAAGCAAATGTGCACCATTTGTCAGCTTACATATGCAGAAAACACCAAGAAACAGTCATGCTCTATACATTTTGGGGGAATGTGCCTTCATTAAATATTAAAAAACAAAATCCACTGTCTTACCTGAAAGGATCGTACTCAATCACCTTGGAATGCTCAGGGTCAGTGGCTGCAAACATCTGTCTGATTTCTTGGGAACGAGGTTCAGTTGCATCTTTCAGTTTCTTGAGGATGACACCAATATCAGCCACAGAGAACTTAACAAAAGCAAGACAGATTAGGGAGAAAGGTTCTGTGCAGCCAACGATGCATGTACCATGTGAAGGTGCAGGGCAACATTGAACTGCTAAGTACTATCAGTTTCTTCATTGTCTCGCTTCAAATGCATAAATCAGCACTGTGTTAAGTTTGGAGGGAAGCTTGCTACTGAAAAAAGTTGCTTCCTACTGAAAGTATAAAAATTAAACAAAAATCATCAGATCATGCACTTTCAGAAAGCTTACTGCAGCTACATAAAAGGACATTCACTTTTGCTTCAAATGTTAAATTGTTGCAGCAGAAGCAGAAACATTTGAAGTACAGTTCTAATAACTTGGTCCTCACTTTATGTTGGTGCATCTCACTTAATTCTCAATTAATAAAATTCACAGTGTTAAAACTAATCTTCTCACCGCTGGCTTCAATGAACTGTTGAACAGATATTCATATTAGACTGAGTATGCTGATTTATGTATTCAGAATTAGCAGATTAGAAATTTGCTAGGAACCAATTTTTTCTATCATGTAAGAAGAATGCTTATTTCTTCTAAATGTAGGCCATTAAAATAAAATTAAATTTAGATAAACAGAACTGGAGCACTTAAGCTTCCACCCTACATTCAGATTGTTGTGTTAGAGCTCCAACAAAGACTTGTTTGCTATACTTATTTTTAACAGAAAACATCTATGTATCTAGTCATTAAATAGGGGTTGAGTCCAAACACGAGTATCTGACATGCCCTTACATCTGCCATGCTCAACCTAACTTGCAAAGCATAATGAACTGTCCAGAAATAGTTTTCTCCCATTTCTTCCAGTAAGCAATGTTGTTTTAACTAGTAATTATTTGAAATCTGGTATGGTTCATACTAAGGACCTAATCACAAGAGAAATGGGGCCTCACTCAGTTATGCTGAAGTCTCCAGCACTGTATCTGTCCAAAGCATATTTGGAGAAAAGCATATTTAAAGTCCCTATGACACTGCCAGAGCAGTATAAAGTGATCCAAGTTTAATAACCACATCAGTGGTTGCAGGTAACACGTTCAGATTTAGAGAAAACAGTTGCTGTATATGCCAAAATTGCTCCAGGCACAACCCTGGCATGCAATGCCATGCAAGGCAGTAGTGTGAAGCAGCTGGACCAGCAGTAGAAAAGTTTCAGAGATAGCAACATTTTCAAACCTCTCCCCAAGCTGTTATTGTTTGGACGGTAAGCACACAACTTCTTTGAAAAAGCAAGGAACAGAGATTGAACCATAGAATCATTTAGGTTTGAAAGGACCTTTAAGATCAAGTTCAACCATTAACCTAATACTGCCAAGTCCACCACTAAACCATGTCCCTAAGCACCGCATCTACAAATCTTTTAAATACCTCCAGGGATGGTGACTCAATCACTTCCCTGGGCAGCCTGTTCAAACGCTTGACAGCCCTTTCTGTGAAAAAAAATTTCCTAATATCCAATCTAAATCTCCCCTGGCACAACTTAAGGCTGTTTCCTCTTGCCCTATTGCTTGTTACTTGGGAGAAGAGACCGACATCCACCTGGCTACAACCTCCTTTCAGGTGATTGCAGAGAGCGATAAGGTCTCCTCTCAGCCTCCTTTTCTCCAGGCTAAACAACCCCAATTCCCTCATCCACTCCTCATAAGACTTGTGCTCCAGACCCTTCACCAGCCTCATTGCCCTTCTTTGGACATGCTCCAACACCTCAATGTCTTTCTTGCAGTGTGGGGCCCAAAATTAAACACAGTATTCGAGGTGCGACCTCGCCAGTGCTGATTACAGAGAGGCAATCACTACCCTAGTCCTGCTGGCCACACAATTTCTGATACAAGCCGGGATGCCGTTGGCCTTCATGGTCACCTGGGCACACTGCCTGCTCATATTCAGCTGGCTGTCAACCAATATCCACAGGTCCTTTTCCACCAGGCAGCTTTCCAGCCACTCTTCCCCAAGCATGCAGCATTGCATGGGCTTGTTCTGACCCAAGTGCAGGACCCAGCACTTAGCTTTGTTGAACCTCATACAATCGGCCTTGGCACATTCATCCAGCCTGCCCAGATCCCTCTGTAGAGCCTTCCTACCCTCAAGCAGATCAATGTTCCCACCCAACTTGGTGTTGTCTGCAAACTTAGTGAGGATGCACTCGATCCCCTCTTCCAGATCATTGATAAAGATATTAAACAGAACTGGCCCCACTACTGAGCCCTGGGAAATACCACTTGTGACCGGCCACCAACTGGATTGAACTCCATTCAATACAGCTTTTTGGACCTGACCATCCAGCCAGTTTTTTACCCAGCAAAGAGTACACCGGTCTAAACCATGAGCAGCCAGCTTCTCCACAAGAATGCTGTGTCAAAGGCTTTACTAAAGATTAGGTAGACAACATCCACAGCCTTTCTCTCATCCACTGAGCAGGTCACCTTGTCATGGAAAGAGATCAGGTTAGTCAAGTGGACCTGCCTTTCATAAATCCATGCTGATCACCTGGTTGTCCTGTATGTGCCACGTGATGGCACTCAAGAAGATCTGCTCCATAACATTCCACAGCACCGAAGTCAGACTGACAGGCTTGTAGTTCCTCAAATTCTCCTTCTGGCCCTTCTTCTAGATGGGCATCACATTTGCTAATCTCCAGTCAATTGGGACTGCTCTGGTTAGCCAGGACGGCTGATAAATGATGGAACACGGCTTGGCGAGCACTGCCACCAGCTCCCTCAGTACCCTTGGGCGGATCCCATCCAGCCCCATAGACGTGTGTGTCTAAGTGGTTTAGAAGGTCACTAACTCTCCTTCTGGCCCTTCTTCTAGATGGGCATCACATTTGCTAATCTCCAGTCAATTGGGACTGCTCTGGTTAGCCAGGACGGCTGATAAATGATGGAACACGGCTTGGCGAGCACTGCCACCAGCTCCCTCAGTACCCTTGGGCGGATCCCATCCAGCCCCATAGACGTGTGTGTCTAAGTGGTTTAGAAGGTCACTAACCATTTCCCCTTGGACTATGGGGGCTTCATTCTGCTCCCCGTCCCTGTCTTCCAGCTCAGGGGGCTGGGTACCCAGAGAACAACTGGTCTTACTATTAAAGACTGTGGCAAAGAAGGCATCCAGTACTTCAGCCTTTTCCTCATCCTTTGTCACTGTTTTCCCCCCATCCAATAAAGGATGGAGATTCTCCTCAGCCCTCCTTTTGTTGCTAATGTATTTATAGAAACATTTTTTATTGTCTTTTACGGCGGTAGCCAGATTAAGTTCTAGTTGGGCTTTGGCCCTTCTAATTTTCTCCCTGCATAACCTCACAACATCCTTGTAGTCCTCCTGAGTTGCCTGCCCCTTCTTCCCGAGACCATAAACTCTCTTTTTTTTTTCCTGAGTTCCAGTCAAAGCTTTCTGTTCAGCCAGGCCAATTTTCTTCCGTGTTGGCTCATCTTTCGGCACATAGGGACAGCCTGCTCCTGCGCCTTTAGGCTTTCCTTCTTGAAGAATGTCCAGCCTTCCTGGACTCCTTTTCCCTTCAGGACTGCCTCCCAAGGGACTCTGTCAACCAGGCTCCTAAACAGGCCAAAACCTGCCCTCCAGAAGCCCAAGGTGGCAGTTCTGCTGACCTCTCGCCTTACTTCTCCAAGAATCAAAAACCCTTAATCATTTTGTGACCGTTGTGCCCAAGACAGCCTTCAACCATCACATCACCCACAAGTCTTTCTCTGATGGTAAACAACAGGTCCAGCGGGGCACCTTCCCTCATTGGCTCCCTCACCAGCTGTGTCAGGAAGTTATCTTCCACACACTCCTGGACTTTTACCACTCTGCTGTATTGTATTTCCGGTACATGTCTGGTAGCTTGAAGTCCCCCACGAGAAAAAGAGCTAGTGATTGTGAGATATCTCCCAGCTGCTTACAGAGTATTTTGTCTGCCTCCTCATCCTGGTAGGGTGGTGTATAACAGACTTCCACCATGATATCAGGCCTTCCTCCTGATTCTTATCCGTAAATACTCAACCCTATTGTCACCATCATCAAGCTCTAGACAGTCAAAACACTTCCTAATATACAGGGCTACCCCACTGCCTCTCCTTCCTTGCCTATCCCTTCTGAAGAATTTATGGTCATCCATTGTCGCACTCCAGCTGTGTGAGTCACCCCATCATGTTTCCGAGATGGCAACTATATCATAGTTTTCCCACTGTGCAATGGCTTCCAGCTCCTCATGTTTGTTGCTTGTTTGTCGCTGAGAAAACACTGGGCAGAAGGAAACAATCAGCAAGGTATTTAAAGAGGGACAAACTGTTCTGTCTATATAAAAGCCTGCCTTCTCTACATTATCACAGCAGTTATTTTTACATTTTTTTTCTAAAGTACATATTCCAAACACCTACATACACATTGAGTATCTGAGCAGCGGGGCAATAACTCTTTACTCGCTTTCCCCTCCTTCTCACGTAATTGCTGACATGCTAGTAGTCACAATCTAGTTTTGTTTGGTTGTCCTGCTTAAGTCAGAGGTTATTATGTGGAATTCCATGGAGGTAAAATCAACCTCCATGTTACTGCTGCAGAAGACTACAAAATTTGAACAATTACGATTGTTTCAGAGATGATTGATTCATTTCCAAGGAGGCACAGTGACATCTTGTTTGAAAAGTCTTTCTCAAACCTGGATAATACCGGTAGGACTGTGCACAACACACATGTTCTGCTTTGCAAGCAAATTTATGCTTTCTAAGTACATCTTTTTTCCTCAAATTGGAGAAGAAACTAAAAGTGTTGAAAAGTTTTGAGAATTAGATCCTTAAGGTTACTTTCAGCACAGGTGGCAATCAAAATGACACGACTCAATGATTTTTCCTAGCCCCATAACTTTAAACCAATACAATAAATACAATTTTGAACTAGAAAATTAAAACTTTCCAAATATCTCATATGGTGTCAAACAAATGTTTCAATGTTAGCAAAATCTGTTCCCACCTGCACTATGATTACCAACCAAAAATCTCATCTAAATCAACATATGCCTATAGAAATGTGGTCAAAATGGCATTTTCCAGAAGAAAAACATCCCATCTGGATTTCTTTCACCAGTTTTCAGAAAACATACTGATGCATTCTGCTGAATGGAAACCTCTGTCTATTCAGAAGGAAAATTATTTATTTTCTAATTTTAGAAATGACTGACAAACAGTAATCTTAAAATTGTTTCCCCTTCTTCAAATCATTTTCCAGCTCTGCTCTTCTCTAATAACTGCTGAAGTTCTTGTGATTTGAGTATGAAATCCTCTGACGCAGTGATGCAAACAAAGCGTGCTCTTACTTCTGGAGCTCTATTCAAAGGATGTGAATAAAGCCTCTATCGCTCAGAGAATAAACCCTTTTTTTTTTCTACCAGCTGTTTTAAAATCTTAGCTGTGCAAAGAACATTTCAAAATTCACTTTAAAGAAGTATTTTTAGTGTTGCTTCTTCTCATTTTGCAGATTTTATTTTGATAATATACAATCATTCAGTCTGGAAAACTAAGGTCTCATCTGTTTGATCCAAAATAATCAATGCAAACAGCAGTTTCAAAGAACATTTACGATCTAATGATGCGCTCTGCATTTTGTAGAACAGCTTTGGTTTTGATTCTACTAGAAGGAGAAACAGTCCAGCAGTAAGAAAACATAATGTATATAGCTTCGTATTTTACTGCTTAAAGCATTTAGCAGTCGTAGTATTTTACATCAACAAGCGTTTTGCAGACCTTTCTCATTATTCCAGGGAAGGCAGGTGGTGCTAACTCCACATTAATTTACAAAGAAATCACACCGTTCTGCTAGTTTCATTTGAGTGAGAACAGTGCGTGTGGCCCAAAGGCAGCCCAGGGTCACGTTGCATCTACCTCTGCCTCAGCAGCACAATGGCATCAAGACTAGCAATCTCCAAGACTGTGCTAGGCTGACTGGCATCTTGGGAGTCCTGCAGGTTCACTCACTTTTGTGAGCCAGCAGACAGTGAACAATTAAAACTTGCGCTAAGAACCTTCTCCCTTCTCCACCCACAAAAGACCTGGACAAAAGGGCAGAGGATAGTATCGTGTAGCTTGATACACTCTTCTGGATATTTTCGCTGGGGGTACTCTCAACAAGCCTAAGCAAAAGGGTAGATCTGGAGAAGGTCTGCTGAAGGCACAACTCACGCTGCTGCCTCACCACAAGCTATGAAGCATATGCACTAGCACCATGGATAGAATGGTTTGGGTTGGAAGGGACCTCAAAGATCATCTAGTTCCAACCCCCGTGCCATGGGCAGAGACACCTTCCACTGGATCAGGTTGCTCAAAGCCTCATCTAATATGTCCTTGAACACTTCCAAAGTCCTCAGAGCACAGTCTAGTCCAAAGGCTGATGTTTCAAATCACACTGTGACAAAGCAACAATCCAGACAAGGGATTGAGATGCAGAAATTCCTTGGCTCCTGAGCTGATGCATTCTTAAGATGCATCTCAGAGTGACTGAATCAGAGCTGCACATAACAGGAATTTCCAAGTATACCAGGGTACCTTTATTCAAATACTGCAGCACAAACTTCATTGTAAAAAAAAAAAACAAAACCCTACATTTCTTACCAAGCCAACATGAAATCCCACAAAACGCTCTGTGTTTTTTCTGCGGTTCTCCCTGTAGCCTTTCTTTTTCGACCTCTGTGACAATTGCAGTAGGACAATCCGTTTCATTCTATTGGATACGTTTCTAGCTTTGGCAAATGAGGGCTTCTTTCCCAGCCATTTGTGTAATGACTGGTAGCATAAAGCATACATCAGCAGAGGTATCCCAGCTCTCTATTTATTGCTGCTCTATCCTCTGAAGGCAACGCCAAAAGACAGTGAAACTCAGTATTAACTGTAAGCTTGAATTCTTGATTGTGATATGAATTTCTAACATTACTAGGGAAATGTTTGGGCAGATAAATATGTATGAACTCAAAAACTCAAATCAGGGAATAAAATAGCCTCATCAGTAAGACTCTAAATTGGATGTGCCCACATCTTGAGTACTGTGCACTGTTCCGTCTCCACATCTCACAGTTGCCTTGCAAGGACAGACCAAAAAGAGAGAGACTCTCAACTGGATAGGATTTAGGCTGAGGGAGAAGAATGTCTGCAATTTACAAAACCATGAAGGTGGTGCATAAGGTGAATAGGGATCTTCACCAAACCCCAGAACACTAGAACTGGCACTGAAATTAGTGGGAGGTTGGTTTAAAACAGATAAAAGATACTGACTTCTTTTATCATTTATTTTTTTACATAGCAGGCAGTGAACTTTTTGGCTTGCTGCCACAGAAAGCTGTGGAAGCAGATAGCATCTGTAGATTCAATAAGGGTTAGATCAATTCAGGGACAAGAGGTCCACAAACAGTCTCAAGAAGGAATAGGCAGGGTTATAGCTTCTAATAACCTCTGATACAGTAAGAGTGGGTGCTGAGAAAGTAGAAGGGGAACGGATGGTAAAGAGAGATCAGGCTTGCATGCACTCCCTAGCCAGCATCTTCAAAATCCATTGTTAGACAGAGTGCACTGTGAAACTTGGGTGAAGAAACTAGGTATAAATAACTCAGAAAAATATATATCCTTAAAGATAATAGAAAATAACAAGAGCCTGCTTCACCTCATTTGCATGCTTCTCCATGTAGTTGAACGTGTACTCATCGGCATCCACCAAAAGAAAGTTGTGACCATGGAAACAAACTCTGGCTCCAACAAACAGATTCTGAGCCTTGAAGTATTCAGATGGCTCACTCTTAAAGAGCTCCTGACCAGGCTTCTTAATGCGACCTCTTTCCAAGAACTTCCCACCAAGTATCCCTATGGGAACAGAATTGTAAATAATTAATTATGGCTTTACTTGGGGAACAAAAAAAAATTCAAAAGACACCCCATATCAGCTGGTTTGTATTTAAATATTAGTTTTCATCCTTCAGTTTCTTGTCTCATAATATACTCTTCCCCTCCCTCTCATTGCTAAAAGAACTGTCTCTGCCAGTGTCCACAGCAACAGTTACATTGTGCATATTCTGTGACATGTCTCATTTGAATGCCTGCCAAACACCTTCTCTTGTTTTCTTTTCTTTAAAATGGGACAGAAATGTGCCTCTTCAAATCGTTCCCATAACCCTGTCGCCAGCCTTGGGATTGACCCTTGGGAAATATAAGATGCAAAATGTAAGATGCAGGCGAATATCCTTGAACAGTTAAATCAAAAAAGAAAACAAAAAATTCACAACTTGGGAAAGCACGGTCCTACAAAGATCGTGAATTCTGGTGCACTGTGATACTAATTTGGTTTTAAGGGCTTGTGACTATAAAAAAACTAGGAGTGACATAACACTATCTTCCACATATTGTTCTGCCAATGCAATTTAATTGCGATCTGCTATTTCCTTTGTGAGCTGTGTATGTCATGTTATTTGTTTTCACATTATAATGATTTTACTCGTGCCACTGGAAACTGCACATGGTGCTCAAGGGTATGTAAGATACTAAAAGGAACATTTCGCTTTCCAGTATTATCTTCTGGTGCACCACAAGATTGCATTGCATGTACTAAGCTTTCTAGAAAAGTCTGTCACATGTTTAGTTTCATCAGGATATGTACCCTGCAACTCTGGAGTGCCTGGGGTTCGTTTCCTGTTTATGTTTAAGCTTCCAAGCCAAAAGCCAAAAAGCAAACTTTATAACATTTTATGATGTCTTACATATTAGGTAGTGATGCAAGCCCAATAACAGGCTGATGAACAGTTTAATAAAATGCCTTTTATAGTCAAAATTATAAATGAACGTGAAACCCAAACTATTTATTAAACCAGAGTTTGGATCAGATGTCTGTCTTAATTGCTTTACTAGCACCATAAAAGCAAAAGACTAAAAATATACTATAGTAATGGTCAGATCTAGTTTGAATAAAAAAAAATATTCGAATCACTAATGTAACTCTAATCTCAAAACATTCTTTTTCACCTAGCTGTTAAAACAAATATGAAATTTTAGGTTATATAATCCTGGTAACTGTTTGTAATATTTAAACAGAACTGGTCCCTGTAAGTCTGGAATTTCATTTGTCTCCATATTTCCCTGCAATTGTGCACTTAGATTGGAAACTTACCTTAATACCTCTGTCCTATAATTGTTTTTTAAATGTTAAAAATTAGTACATTTCACATGGTATAAAGAAAAACAATCAAAAATATCTCATGAGGTTAGAGATTTTACATTGAAACCTGATGAGAAATTTTGATGGAAATCTTCAAGAGTCAGGCTCAAAGCACAAAATAAACACCACAACCAAAGACTCTCTTCCATTAAGATCAGATCAGACTTCTAAGGTGTTTGTACAGCTGTTGGCTTGGTCTTACTCTGAGTGAAAAAGGAGTTGTGATCTTCTACAAGGGGAGCCAAAGTTCTCATATTTTGACCTCCATCTCAACAAGTGCTTCAAGATGTCCAGCCCTGTGCATTTCAAAGACAGTTTCACAGTGTTACTAATAGTGTGAAGTACTTCTCTGCAACCTTCAGGCTGCTGGACTGAGAAAAGTAAGAGCAACTTTATTAGTTCCATCTTAGGACTCAGATTTGGAACATTTTTACTTGCCAATTTGCATTGATTCATAAAAAGGCAAAAATAGCCCTTTGAACCTGTGCACAAAAGGGATGGTCAAGTTGCTGTTTTGGAAGCCATTTACTTTTATAACTCATCCACTCTCCAGGTGTGCTCAACCTTACTCTTCTCCCACCCCATCCACTTCAACACCTTTGCTTCTCACACATGAATGTCCTTCTTGCTACCATTTTGCATGCCTTACTCCTTTTTCCTAGCTGCTCTTATTCAACCTCTGCAAAGCCTTTTCATCCTTAACCTCGAAGAAACCCATTCACTTTTCCTTCAGACATGACTAAAATGAGGAGGAGAGAGAGAAGAGAAAGAAAGAAGAAAGAAAAGAAGGAAGGTATGAACAAAGAAACTTCTGCAGTCCCAGGCCTCTTTCCAACTGCTGCTCTACCTCCCTCCATCCATATGTCTTATCCTGCCTCTTTGAGGCTGTTCTCACTAAACTCACCAATGCCCAGTTCTTAGCCACATCCTTCCACTTTACCTTTCTACCACCTCTGAAAGTCAGCTACTCCATCCACTTTAACATCCCAGGGAAGTTAAAAATCCATTTACAGACACTTGCCTTTCATATGCCTCTTAAAGTGTTTGTTATTGCTGGGATGCAAACTTGCCTATTTATTGTTTCACATATTGTTTGACTAGCAATGTTCAATGAGCTTCAAGATGTGAATCCAGCATATATTCTCATTCCAAGATAAAAGGAAGCCAGAGAGCAATCTCTAGCCTGGCACCCGTGCTGTTGAGAGCCTGACTTACTGACCACATCTGCACTGCACAGTGTGTGGCTCTGGCTCTGCTCCGGGTGCTATGTGATAAATCCATGGTATTAAGACACAGCTATTATTTTTGTGTGTTCAAACTGTTTGAAGGTATGTGAGGGCTGTGCTACAGTCAAACAGAGTGGTGTTTTACAGCATCAAACTGACGGTGTGTATTGCAGCCCCTGGGTGTGGCAGCAGGACCTGAATTTTCGAGTGTGCAAAACCTGCTGGGATAGTGTTAGATGACTGGTAAGGGTGGAGTAAGTCAAACCTGATGCAGTCTTGTCCTTACTGCCTTGCAGGAGAGTTTCCTGGAGCTAAGCATCCTCCAGGAGGTGTCCAAGGCTCTCTGGGGCCTTGTCTAGTTGGAGCAGTGCAAAGGAGAACCAGGAGTGACTGAACAGGCAATATATAAGATTGGGGTGCAAGATTCAAACTGTTCCCTGGACTTCTTTAATATAACAGTGCAGCTATACCCTTAGCATCCTTTATGTCTCTGGACATAAAGAATGCCAATCAAACGCCTCATTCACTAGTGGAGAACTGAGCTGCTCTTGAGCCTTGCAACAGCATTACATAATAAATATCTACATAAGTGTATGTATCTTTAGCTGTAATAAAAGAAGCTGCATAAATTACAGGCCACTGGATGACAGGAAACTAGTAAAATATTGATGCCAAGACACTGCTGCCATAAGCTGTGCTAAACCTTGATGTTGCAGTGGAGCAGGGCTAACCAGGAGAGCTCATTGAAGCCTAGGCAGTCAATCTACACGTTTTCAAAACATTTCTCAGAGAATTTCTTGTATTTTAGTTGGGCGTGAGGTCCCTATTTAGGCATTCATAATATAGCTGGATACAAGCAGAGATCCCAGTAGAAGTTCTTTCCATTGAAACGGCTCAGGCCTTGCCAAAAACCTCTTTATGTACAGGGCACTCAAAATGACTTAGCACCACTGGCACAGAAAGAGTTCTCTAGGAATACAGAGGGTCTAGATATTTGCCACACCTTTATTTTTTATGGATGTGATGTGCATTGTAGGTCTGAAAAGGGTTATCATCAGAAATTATTTTCAGTAAGGGCTTAAGTGTAGGATCACAAGAATACTTAGTCCTTAACTGTAAGCTGAATAACTGGACCTCAGAAAGTCAACTGCTGGCACCAGACCCTGAAGCAAAGGGGAGTGAACAGTCCTCCCTAGGACAGTCTTTGCTCTAGACAGTGAGCTGGGAGTACCAAAGAGGTTACCACTGAGCACAGTGAGCTGGTCACCACCGCAGAGTGGAAATACCTGGAAATACCATACTAAGGTGCTCTGTGCCAAGAGGTTGATATAGGGCAATTCAAGCAGTATCAAAAGAGCTAGTCATGAGGTTCCACAAGAGCCTAACATGGCAACTAAGGAAACCTTCTATTAGTCTTTTTCCCTTGTCTTTCAGAGAATGTGATTTCCTGATTTTTTTCTCTCTATGGTTTTATTGAAGGCTGACAGTAGCTTTTAAGAGTCAATCTTTCAACTGCACATGTTGAGAGGTGTCAGAGCACTTCTGGATGTTAACCACTCTGAAACTGTTGCTCCAGATATTTTGAGGGCTTCACAGAAATACACTACTCCCTCCAACAGGGTCATGCTTAGCCAAGGCTTCCCTGTCTCCCTGAGTTACAGAATTACTCCTTCCCAGTGCTGTGTCCTCCCATCCGTGTGCAAGACGCTCCCAGGAAATAAAAAGATGCTTGAAAAGCACAAAACCTTTATATCCTCAGTTGGAGGCAGCCTACAACAGACAACAGTGGTCAAAGGAAATTAACCATGACAACATTGGGAGACCACGTTCCAGCAACAGGATAAATGTGATCAAGAAACTGAGAAGTAACAAAGCATTTGTCACTTAAACACTGGTAGTCTGGCTTTTAAAATTCAGTTCAGTATTATACACACACACATACAGACATTAGCACAGGGCAATCTTAGAATCATAAAATCATAGAATGGTTAGAGTTGGAAGGGACCTTAAAGATCATCTAGTTCCAACCCCGCTGCCATGGGCAGGGAAACCCTCCACTACACCAGGTTGCCAAAAGCCTCATCCACCCTGGCCTTGAACACTGCCAGGGATGGGGCATCCACAACTTCTCTGGGCAACCTGTTCCACTGTATCACCACCCTGTGAGTGAAAAATTTCTTTCTTATATCTAACCTAAATCTGCCCTCTTTCAGTTTAAATCCATTGCCCCTTGTCCTATCACTACACACCCTTGTAAAAAGTCCCTCTCCAGCTTTCCTGTAGGCCCCCTTTAGGTACTGGAAAGCTGCTATAAGATCACCCCAGAGTCTTCTCTTCTCCAGGCTGAACAGCCCCAACTCTCTCAGCCTGTCTTCATAGCAGAGGTGCTCCAGCCCTCGAATCATCTTCATGGCCCTCCTCTGGACTCATTCCAGTAGCTCTATGTCCTTCTTGTGTTGGGGACTCCAGAGCTAAACACAGTATTCCAGGTGGGGTCTCACAAGAGCAGAGTAGAGGGGCAGAATCACTTCCATCGACCTGCTGTCCACGCTCCTTTTGATACAGCCCAGGATACGGTTGGCTTTCTGGGCTGCCAGCTCACATTGCCGGCTCATGTTGAGCTTCTCATCCACCAGCACTCCCAAGTCCTTTTCCTCCGGGCTGCTCTCAATCCATTCTCCGCCCAGCCTGTACTTGTGCTTGGGATTGCCCCGACCCATGTGCAGGGCCTTGCACTTGGCCTTGTTGAACTTCATGAGGTTCTCACAGGCCCATCTCTCCAGACTGTCAAGGTCCCTCTGGATGGCATCCCCTCCCTCCAGCATGTCCACAACACCACACAACTTGGTGTCATCTGCAAACTTGCTGAGGGTGCACTCGATCCCACTGTCCATGTCTCCAACAAAGATGTTAAATAGCACTGGTCCCAGTACCGACCCCTGAGGAACACCACTCAGACTCTTTGCATGCTTAACACCACATGATTAACGATAAAGTATGTTAAAAAATACCACACCTGTTTTGCTTTCATGAGCCACTTCTATACAAAGGATGCTATACAGGTATCATAACATCATAACACAATCTTGCAAAACAAAGGATTTACTCTTTCATTCTAGATGTCTTATGTTTCCTGTCCCTATTTACCACTAGTTACAATTCAAGTCCTGTATGTTATCCACAACAAAAGCAAAAGGCCAAATTTGCAAAATAAAATGTAATAAAAGTTCTAATGCATTAGACTTCCAGTTCCCAAAGGATATTGTGAAGTACTGTCTTACAATGAATAGTGTTATTCTGAGTGATGAAGATTACAAATTACTCTGACATACAGCTATGCAAGATAATGCAGTAGATCTGCTGATGTAATTCCCATTGCATTTAAAAATCCACATCCCTGCTTCTGCTAGTGCTCAGACTGGCCGCAATGTTTACTGTAAGCTCTAATCAAATAAGCAGGGCAACTGGGACTGGTTGCAAGACATTACTACATCTTACCTGTATTTCGCTGTATCTGTTCGAAAACTGAAATGGTGTCATCACTCAGGAAGTAGGAAATAATGAACTTACGGTCCTTGTCAACAGGACTGTCTGTGACAAGTTTTGCAAGAAAGCGCAGTATGTTACTTTCCATGGCACTTCTAAAAAGCAAAAGAAGAGGTAAGAAATAAAAAACAGAGTATGAGAAAAGTTTTCATCACTAAAAGATGCATCCTCCTGAGTTTTGTAACATATATTAATTGTGTTATTTCTGGACCAAGAAGGGAAACGGCATAAGATTCTCTACTTTGTCAAAAACCATTTTCAGCTTAACTTAACAGAACAAGCTAGAGGCAGCCAGATAAAAAGGAATCATTTTCAGGGCAAAATTACTTCTCTGCCACAGGTCTGGAATGAATCTGTATTGAAATTCAATCACAAATCGAGCTCCAAGTTACCTTCCAGAAAATTTATAAAGGAAGAACACATTTAGGTATGTATATTTTCAGATCAAACTCTGGATAGCAATAGCTGCTAGGATTATCTCCACAAAATCAGCCCACCAGATGATCTTACTAGTTGGATATTTGTTAAGTGATTGTGTTTTAAATGATTTACCGTACTGCTATATGCACTATCAATACATTCTCAAGCTTTCTTCTAGTAGCTTTATTCTTTTATGGGGGTTCTACAGGTGAATCTCTAGCATGTGACTTTTCCATTTAGGCTTTAACAGCCACCGCCCGACAAACAATTTCATAGTGGAAAGTAAAGGGTTAATGCTTTAATATTGCTACAGTAAACTGCATGAAATTCAGCAGACAAAAAAAAAAAGTAAATGCCAGAAAGTGAAACAGAAAAACAAATCAGTGTTGGACTGCTGAAGCACACTAAATTCCTGACTAATTCCTAAACTAAGAATTCCATCAAACTCCCACTGAAGACAGCAGAAAAGAAGGAGGTAGGGAATGGGAGGGTCAGAATGTCTGCCTTCTTTTTTTCCCAAAAAAGAGAAATTTTGCTGAATTCGGAGAAAATTAGAGTATCATGTTACTAAACTAGTCCTCATGCACTTGCCCCTTAAAAGTCTGAGGAGCTGTATATTTTGCTGAAAAAATGACATCCTTACTTAACATTTACTTCCTTCACAAAAAGACATAATTTAAAAAGTTGGAATTATTTTTTCACTGAGATACCTGTCTTTCTCCATGAATTTCTTGAAATCTTTTTGCGGAGGCTTGGGAAGCAGACTCATACAGGAGCTGAGAGAATCCTCTTCGGAACCAAATCCAGTATAAGGAGGAAACGTTTTTTCTGGTTTTGGAGGTGGTGGAGCCTTGTACGGAACTGGGGTGAAATCCTCTACAACAAAGACAGCAAGACTGGTTTAATACTGTTCTGATGAAGCCACTTTACTGAGGATTTAACTTCCAATATGAATACTTATTAGCCCATTTTTGTAACAGACCACTGATCAAATCCAAACCATGATTCCTCCTACTGTTGAAGGGTGAAAAAAGACTCCATAGAAGCCAACAGAGAAATTATTGTTTCTTCAAGGGTTTCAGGATTTAATCTATAATCTATAATGTGTGACAAATATCATTAAAATACACAAGCAAAAATAAAGACAAACATAGCTTCAAAATGGGATAAAATAATAAATTAACAATTCTAAATTAATTTTTCAGTTTTATACTCTGAGACAACATGATTAAGTAAATACTTGGCTCATGAGTTTTCTGCCTTCTGTTTTTTGCCGGAAGAAAATAAATACATAAATTAAAAAAAAATATTCATTATTTAAATCATAGATAGAATCACAGAATCACAGAATGGTTTGGATTGGAAGGGACCTTCAAGATTATCTAGTTCTAATCCCCCTGCCACAGGCAGGAACACTGTTCCCTAGACCAGCTTGCTCAAAGCCTCATCTAGCCTGGCCTTGAACACTTCCAGGGACAGAGCCTCTGCAGCCTGCCCCGGCAGCCTGCCCCAGGGAGGAAAGTTTTTCCTGATATCCAACTCTGAGGTTCTTGTTTCCACTTATGCATGTTGTCTCCTGTCCTCCTGCCAGGTACCCCTGTGAAGAGTCAGGCTGCCTGGTCTCAGCAGCCTCCCCATGGGAGGGTGCAGGTGGCCACTCAGGGCCCTTCTCAGGCTGAGCAAGCCCTGCTCCCCAGGGTGATCCTCAGCCCTGACCGTCCAGGGGCCTCCCCTGACCTCACTCTAGCTGGTCCATGTCTTTCCTGTCCTGGCAGACCCAAAAGGGGACACAGTAGCTTGACGAGGTATAGCGAGCGCTGAGCAGAGGGAGATAGTCACTTTCCTTGATTTTTAGGTAGCCCAGGCTGTGGATGGCCGTCTCTGCTGTGGCCCCAAGCCCAGCCTGCTGCTCCCCACAACCCTCAGAGCCCTTCCTGCACCAACACGGGTGCAATAAGATGGTCAGAACCAACCAGGGCAGCACTGCCCACGTGGAATGGCATCACTTCCACACCTGGGGGGGCTGAAGATGCTGCCCTGAAGAAGGGAGAGCTGGCTGGGCTAGTAAGGGAAAGACAAACACATGAGGCAAACTGCAAGAAGACAGATCACAAACCACAGCCTGGGGGCAGTGATACAAGTGATAAGAGTATAAAAGTGGATCCCATGAAATAAAGGTTTTTTCTTTAAAACTTAACTTTTCTACGTAGAACTGAAGAGAGATGAATAACCTAAACTTGTAGCACGGTTTTCAGTGCAAATAGAGGGGAATGACAAAACTGCTGTCACTTGAAACATTTTCTGAATTGGTTTGTGATTAAAATGTTTTAAAAATGGCTATATCAGAACAACAAAGCAACATACTCTCTTAAAATCTGACTTGCCTAACAGCAGTATGAAGTTGAAAAATATAGAAAGCATTCAGATGTCAGTTTAACTTGAAAACACGACGAGGTCTCCTTTGGCATTTACCTCTTAGAAGAATATGGTCTGACTCAAAAACCTAGTATCTTCACCTGAATCAGTCACAAAGGGGTTTTGCAAAACCATGCCAACATTTTTCTCCATAAAAACTATATGTGCCCTTTCTGTGACTCCAAAGCACAAGTGCCAAGCCCGTATGCAAAAGAAAAGTCCATTCAGAAATTTCCAAAGCCATCTTCACAATGGAGTATGTGTGCACGCAAACATGCACCAAAATACTATTTTCTAAATACTGTCTGTGACAAAATTGCCTCTCGAGACGTTTCCCTTGCGCCACGTTACATCACTGATGCACACAATTCTTGTTTCAACAAACGCGGACTATGCAAACCCACGCACACGGAGACAGAGGGAAAACCCCAACGCCCGCAGGCGCTGAGGGGGGGTGTGTGTGCTCCGTCACTCCGC